TTTTTCTGACTTGGCACCATTAAGAGCAAACACTCAATCAGTTAATATAACCAGGTTATCTTCAGGTATTTTGTGTGTACTTAATGTCCTATATAATATAATTTTCCATGTGAGTTTCACACTGTATGCACTGTTGTATTTGCATGTGTTCTTAAAATATTCAAGATAATATAATCGCTTGTAGTTAAAAACACCACATCCTCTCCATCTCATACAGTGCTATTTCTTATTGAGTTTGCTTTTGTATGCAGTGGCAAAAAATCATGTTGAAATTGCCATCCGAGAACTTGATCTACAAAATGTCTCACCAGTATAAGCTGTTGCTTCACTACCTAATTAAGAAGCATGAATAATGTCATGAATGGAAGTGGCAGTGAGAGGATGTGTCAGACCTCAGTCACGAACTGATGTTCAGAGAGACAACCACCGTGCACCAGAAAACTATGGGAAAAGAAAGTGGGAGGGAATCGGAAGAAGGGGGTTATTAGCCGACGGTGTGCGGCAGAGGAGAAATATTAGGGAAGAGATTTAAACATGACTTATGTGATCTGAAAATTAGAAATTTCGAAGGTTTGGCATGTCTGGCAAATGGGTCAGTGGCCATGGGGATGTCTTAGTAGTGGCAGCCATGCTTGTGTGGGCTGTGATAAGTAGGTCAGTAAATAAAATGGAGCTCTTCCCCCAGAACATCATTGAAAGTCATTGCATACATAAAATGACAAGTTTTTGATTTAGGACAAAGAAATTTAAAAGCATTTAGTGAATTATGTAGGAAGCTTTTTTTTTGCAGTAAAGTGTAAACAAGGGGAAGTTTAATGAAGTATTTTCCTCCCTCCAAATACAAAAAGCATTTACTGCACATGGGATTTTCTTCATTTCAAGGATTAGCGACAGAATGTCTTAACGTCTCACTGTGCGCCAAATTGTGCTCTACAATACTGCATTGTGTGGCCAACTGACCTTCCAAGAGCAGACATGGTGAGAAAGACTGTGAAGATAGCATTCTCTCCAGGCTTCTGGCATAATAGGTAGGAGTCAGTCGGTTTCTGATGTCATTTGTAACAACCTTTTTCCTCTGAAAATAAAGGGTGAATAATATTTGTTTTGGTACTTTTGCACAGAATGGTAGGTAATATTATTAAGTTCATTGAAATTGTTATTTGTACCATTTACTCCTGTGTGTCTCCAGCCATGTCACCATTTGAGATCTGATAATTCAATATACGGTAGCCTATTTCCTTCTTGTTCTTAAATTGTGTCCTGTTCTGTCACCTTCTGGTGTTTCTTAGCTCTTAGATTTTGTTCAACCAGACAGCAAGTTGACTTGACACCACAGCGGTACATCAAATTACATTTTCACAAATGTTAGACTCCTGCACACATATTTCAAGCTTATTTATTGTCACTTATCCTCACACCTGATCCCAGTTCAGCTCCCATGGAGAATAAACCCAGCACTTTATATATATATATATGTATATGCCCCCTCATTAATGAACTGCAAATGCATGAGTGTGAAAAGGAAAGATTGAAAATTATGCTGAAATCGAAAAATATTGTATCGTTAAGCTGAACTTCACCTTAGTGGGAGACTGAGTTGTGAAACAGCGAGGAGGAAAGTCAGAGTGATGGAAAAAGAAGATGGGTGAAGAGGAAAGTCAGGGATGGAAGGGATGATAGGATTTATTGTGAAACCTGTGCTGTAGACCTGTCGGATAATCTGGAGGCAGTGGGTGGGTAGACAGCGGGAAAACACTATATTGATGTGGCTGTTTACCCCATTCTCTTTGAGAAAAAAGGCTTGAACACCGAAATCGGAGTGAGAAGGCACAGGCTGTTATCTCTAGGTGGTGGGAGGTGTGTATCTGTGTGTGTCAGTGTGTCCCATTTTATCTTCAGTTGGCCGCGTCTGAAAACACACACCAAGAAATTTAAAAAGTGCCAATAGGGCAGCGGGGTAGCTCGGTTAAGTGCTTTTTGACGTTCTCTTTCTGTCTCAAAATGAAAAATGAAATGAATTAATAGAAACGATAGAGCGAATGAATAAATGCAGGTTCTCAACCTTACTGTTGGATCATAGCTGTAATTATCCATCATGTCTCTGCATTCTTTCACTTAACGGGTCGACAGCAGCACTTGACCTGAGCTCCACCTGTTGGCATCAGTGCAACGGTTCCCTAATTCAGTTTGTATCAGTAGTGTTTAGTGCATGGTAGACATGGTGTGTGTGTGTGTGTGTGTGTGGGAGGGATTTAACTAAAAGTTCACACAATGCTACACAAACCTCAGACCTGTTAGTGCTAAACACTGGAGTGAATTTCCCTACAACTGACACTTTTATGATGCACATCTTCCTGTTAAACGTGGTCATATACAGAAAGCAAAGCAAAATTGAAAAAACGTGATAAATCACAATACATTAATGTACATGTATTTGCTGTTGATGCTATTCAAATAAAATAAAAATGGCTAAGAATCAACAGGCTGAACTAACAAGCTAAATGCTAACGTCCGCATGCCAACAGAATCACCATCTTACTTTAGCATGCTAACATTTGCTGATTAGCACCAAATACAAAGTATAGCTGCGTGAGCTTGATAAATATCTGTAGTTTTTGCAGGAATTTACCATTAGTCATTAACCAAGGTACTCGACAAATAATGTTTTGAATGTGTCATAAGGAAATGAAGCAAAGATATTTTTTTAAGTATAAGAAAATACAAAGTGCCTGTTAGGCCATATACAACTTGATCAGGAAAATGTCAATCTGTAATAACCCTTCCTTAGTTAAAAATGACCTCATTCATGTTTCACAACAACTCCTTGACTCCCTGAAAGGCATACCGTGTTCAGAGTTAAGCTTCTGAAAACACTGGCTTCACCATAAACAACTTCAAGAATGATACAAAGCCCCGTCTGCGTCTGCACCGTGATGAGCTCCCGTCTTAGTTGGGTCAAAATGTTAGCTGTTGTCAAGGTCACAGTAACAGTTTTGAGTGAAACAGAATCCTCGACGGGAATATGAAATTAATCTCCGTATACGTTTAAGCAGTGCTCAGCACTATTCTCCTTAGAAGGTCCCAGGAGCTCTTCTTCAGTATGCAGAGATAAAAGACTCCAAAGACAACGGTCCATACTATCTGAGGCTTTACACCAAAGTCATTTTGAAGACACCAAAGTCTGTGGTAATTGGACTGAACCCAGCACAAACAAACCTTTTTCAAAAAATACCTGTCTTCACCTCTTTTAAAATACAGGAGTTCATTACTATCACCTTTTATTTCTTTGCCTCAGAGTGCAAAGTCATCCTATTATTCTTATTATTATTATTATTATTAGTCCTATTATTGTCCAGGTTTCTCAACTCCCAATTACCTGTAACGAAAAATGCAAAAGGCAGTTTCTACAAAGAATAAATGCATTTTGAGCACCTTTATAGTACTCAACATTAATCATTTTGATTTGTTGATGTGGTTTGACCTAAATCAAAATATTTCTACATTTATCATATTATCCAGAGCTTAAATGACTCAGCTTTTTGGTTTCATTGATTGGTTTACTAGGTAAAATATTTTGTTTTCCACTCATTGTGGATTTTGGGCTGTACACAAGGTATGATTGGAAGAGTTTGATTGTTCTATACATTTTGTGGAGCATACAGTATACAGCCACTGTGTGTTAACATGTGTGGAATAAAGCAGGAATATCACTTTAAAAGCATTTATTCAAAAATATATAATTTAATTGCATCTTCATGTAGGCCTACTAAGATCACTGTCATTTCTATTAAAGGAAAGATCCTAAAAATAAAAGGTTTGGATGACCCTCACGATGACTTGTAAAATCAGTGGTTGAAACCACGAGAACTAGGGCTGTTGTAAGATGCATTATTTATTGATGGGTAATAAATTAATACATCTACCCACTATGAGAGATAGACGTCGCACTTTGTGAAAAACAACATCTGACAGACACTTCCTCTATCAGATGTCAAGGTAAGCCTGTCAGATAGAGACATCGGCTCTACCTCGGCTCTAAAGACAGAGCTGATCTGTAAATAAGCAAAGATCTCAATTTTCTGCTCAATCCTTGTTCCAACTCTCAGCTCCAGTCACAACGAAAGAGCGCGATCACAGATTCAAGGTGTCGAGATGAGATCATAGCTTGACAGAGTGATGTACTCGAGATAAGGTGCTGACCTTTAATCAGTGCTGACAGAATTTGGCCAAACCTCAAGAAATATTGTATAATCTTTATTTTATATTATTTTATAAAAAAATGATTGACATGTAATCTAACATATATTAAAGAATAGGCAGAACAGAAATATACACCATTCTCTCTCTGATTAAATGTCCTAGGTTTTGCCTTTTGAATTTCAGTTATAGGGAGTACTCACAGTTCCCAAGGAAAAGCAGTGACTTGTACTGGAGAAGAAATCATTTTAAAGCCACAAGAAAGCAGACCTGGGAACACTTGGGGATTCCTTTAGAAAGAGTCGAGGGGTGCTATTCAGTAAAAGGACAGTTGGGAGAAAAAGCATGGATGACGGCCTAAAACCTCAGAATTCTGCTGGAATTACAGACTATTACATATAAGTTATAATACAACTACATTCAACACTCAATTACAAACTAACAATTATTTAACTTTTTGGAAAAGCACTCACTCACACTCATCTAAACAATTGCTGAAATCTGAGAACGTAGTGACATTGTTGGAAAAAGAAAAAGAAAAAAAAGGTCCAACAGGGCAACAAATAGAAGCAGGCAGAAAACCAGTAGCTCTATTCGGATGCAACACTGAAAGTATAGCTAATGTCGCTAGTAATCATTGCGACGGTCCTGTTTACAACCAGTCTGATCGTTTTTTTCAACGTCTGACCTATTGTCAGCAATATCGTTGCATTCCAAGATCTCATCAATAACTTTACTTAATACAATGTTTTAACAGATTAAAAAAAGACAACCCAAGCAATGAAAATTAAATCCATGATAAAAATATTTTAAGAACCATTGTAAAAGAAAGTCCCACAGAGTTGCATTTATTACAGGAATGTATTTTTCACATAATGCATTCACACTCAAAACACGATATTTGAGGGTAAACATGTTATTCAAGAGGTTCTGACACTTTACAATGCCTGCAGATGACACCTGTCTGGATATGAGTGCACATCATCACGGCATCAGCATCATCATCAGCATATGGCCCCTTTTCTCCCTCCTCTGGAAAACTGTGTCAATACGGAGCTATAATAATCACATAAAGACATAAAATCCAACTCTTCCCTTTCAGTACGGGAGAACCAGTACAACCTGACATCTTTTATTTTGCCTCAAGGCAAGTTTGTCTCTGTGCCGGCTGCCTGTTATCTAGTTAGAGACTGAACACTATTCTTTAATTGTGTCATTAAGACAGCTGTTCAAAAGAACAGCACTGACTTTGATGGTTCCAACTATAACTGGTTTGCTAGGTAGTTAAACAACTGTGGTAAGGTTGTTAGGTAGTAACTATTGTAGCCTGTGATTCTCACTCAACACAAAAGCCCCATTTACAAGATACTAAATTCAATAGACAGTAAGAAATGATGAATATAATTAATCTCAAAGTTATCATTTATAAGCCTTGAGACTTTAGTTGAAAAAGCTCCAAGTTACTCAAGTGGTTCAAGTGGCTGAACAGCCTTGACTTTAGTAAAGTCTAACCCTTGTAAAAATGAAGTTAAAAAAGACTAATGACAACAATGCAGCGTGAGGAAAGTTGCAGGCTAAGATCATATATGATCAAACAGAGTAACTGGGGAGACTGTGCCTGTGGCTGTTTTGAGCCCTAATTGAATATTTAACTTCATTTTTACACTGTCGTCTATTTACAGTAGCAGCTTTAATGTCTTTCTTGTTTATTTCTGTAACGTCTATATGTATTTACTGTATATATGAAATGTTAATAGAGAAATTTGCTTCTAAAGAGTATCCTTTTAGCTTCTGCAGCATCTTAATAGTATTATTTATTTAGCTCTATAAGTAGTTTCTGAGCATATGTCAGCCAAAAAAGCAGCAGATGAAACAAATACATTTTCCTTTTCTGAGAAGCCTGCTAGCAACACACCAGCAGAAAGGTAGGAGGGAGGAGCAATTGGATTCTTCCTCGGCAGTGGCTCCAGGAGCTATCAGCTCCCATCCAGGCCCATGAAGGCAGAGGAGGATTGAGTTTGAAATGATAATAGACTCCTGAAGAAACTAATCTATTCATAAAGAAGAAAGGAGTATGAATTCTCTCACTTGCCCCCACTTCCACCTACCCACCTATCTCCTCACAATTTCTCTCAGCAGTAGCATTACAGGTCAATTTTGCAATTGAAATATACCAATTCAATGGACTCTGGACAAGACGGCAGCTAATACAGGTGAAGAGAAGCAGATGTTTCCAATTGTCTTTTTGTTCCTGCACATACATAATTAAATGAACACCAAACTTTTACAACAGACGTTGTAGTTATTCTTGAAATCGGCTGTTATAATATTGTTATTAGGGTTATGAATGCCAGGTAAAAATAATTAATATTTGCAAATCTGAACCATATTATGCTGTCTTCCATAAACCAAAATGTCTTGTAATTTCCACACAATTATTAGTGTTCACTCCTACCGTGTCCTGCACTGTGTGGAGGTGGTGCTCCATTACATGTCGGAGCTTGTTACGTCCACCGGCCCTTTCATTTCTTGATAAATAAGCTTCAAATGAAGTCTTGAAAGTGTCATGCTGCAAAAAGGCAGCTGTTACAAGGCCAGGAGCATATGAAAACAAGGCAATATCAAGACCCAGATGGCCCCCGCCAGTCCAAGGCTCCTGGATCTGCCTTCCACTTCTGAATCATCAGCAGGTGGATAATGATGATGATGATGATGCTTGTGATCACCGGTCACATCTGGACTCACTGAGGAGAGAGCAGAAACCAACAGGCGGATACTCGTTATCAATATGACATCATGGAAGAGGTATTACTCTTTGCAATGTTAACTTAAAGAACAAGGATGATGTATTCTATATTTGTCCTCCTGTCAATAAATTCCATGAAAAAAACAAAACCAACCAGAATCTCAATACTATCTGACTTTCCTCCCCTGTCTTTGGCACTCGTAAACACATCTCAACCTAAAAATGGGTCAGACATACTTCATATATTTTAGTTTTAAAGTAGGTTAAAGCCATTTTTACAGCAACTGGGTGCTGCTGTTTTTGGGGGTAAATAGTTGGGGTTGGGGACTATTTTCAGAAGTGGATTAATAAGCATTTGGTGTTCTAATGAGTATTTATGGCAGCAGAAGTATATGATGGATTGACTCAAAATAAATAACAGTGCCCACGTTCATTGTAATGATGGAAGATGTCACCCAGTGTGGCTCATTTTTTGTGTTTTACTTGTTTTTTTGACAACAATGGAGCTCACATGACCCAGAGGATCAATTCATTTTTGGTTTTGGTTGTTTCATGGAATTTGTTGATACGGAACATCACAAGAAAATTGGTAGTTGCAGATGTAACAGGAACAGTTCATTTTATTTCAGTTAATTGAGTTTTAAAATTATGATTACAAACTGAAAGTTGCTGATAACAAACCATTCTATGAATTCCAAGTGCCTAAAAGGTTTACACCACATCTTTCACAGCTGCAATACATTAGTGCCAAACCATTAAGGGAGTTTTTTTTGTTTTCAAGCACCCTATTTATAGTGAGCTGATGCAACTAGGGAGCATCTTCAACCTCCATCTTATCCTCCGAGGTGCAGCAGAGAGCATCTTTGGTGCTCCTTTGTGTCGACAGCCATGTTTGTGGTGAGATGAAGGCACACACGGTAATCACACATTTTTAGTAGTTTAACAGATGGATTTCTTTGCATTATACATTATATATTTTTATATTAAGATCAGAGATAGAAAAGGCAGAAAAGATGGTTGAATAGAGATAGAGAGGTATAACATATCTATGTAGATAACATGCTGCTTTGTATCACCTTTCCACATAATGATCCTGACTGGTTTAGCTACAAAAACATCACAACCAGAAGCAGTGCAACGGCAGAAATAAGACAATCAAACCTTCTAAGAACTTTATTAATAATGAAGTGCTGCAGTTAAACCTACAAATGAGTCAGCAAATTTCCACCTGCTGTTTCCCCTCATCTCGAGATCAATATTGTCTTTTAATGGGTATTTGGTTAGATACCTGTTTTGAGAGATTTGAACGTTTTATTCTACGATATAAAATATGTCAGTAAATATTCCACTCATGAATTTGGAAAGATTTCATGCTAAAAAATACAGTTTGCTAATAAGCGGCTAAATGAGATTACTAAACGTTATCACGCTATATACACTAGTCCGTCCTCAGATTAGTGGTGGTGACATGAAGTCATACGACTGTGGTGTAGCTCGTTTATAGCCTAACATTAGCTTTTTACTACTAGCAATCGCATTCTCCAGAGAGCTGTAGTTAATGAGCTTTCTAAAAGGCTTAAAACCACCCTGCTATTTCGGAAACATATTGCAGAGGTTGCACAGTGTATGCAGTTATGCATTTGCTGATGTCATGTGTTAGTCCTTCACATATTGTATTTTGTCACATTCTGCCATCATTATAAATTACGTATTGACATTTGCTTTTCATAGCATGTCTTTTGCTGATTATGGTACTGCTAGCATTTTGCATTAGTCCGTTCTGTGATATACTTATTTTGATTAAACAGAAATCAGAATCTTGTATTCTTTATTACCATCTTTGTATATTATATGTTACCAGAGCAGAGAATGTCAGTACAACCACATGGTCACCCTACCACTCTTCCCACTGGTTTAACTGTCTTTAAGAGGTGCATCAGTAAACCCAAACAAACCTTTGAATAATAACAATAAGCCCTTGCAAGTAAGTAGCTGTCAATCCATTACAGCTGGACTCTTTATTTGACATTGTAGGTAAGGTTGGACACAGGGAAATAAGGTAGATAAGTTAATTATTCCGGGCGGTATTGTTTTGATTTTGTTTTTGCTTAACAGAACTCATAGTGAAGAATGCAAGTGTAACGACAACACTTAACCAAGACAAGATACTGGACATATTGCATATAATGAGTTAAAGGTTTAAAAGTAGAACAACAGCATACCTTTTTGCCCCTAACCTTCAAATAGCCTGGACTTGAACTCAAACACACCCAACCATCTACACCTTTAAATATTACACCTCAACAGAAAGAGATATCGATTCAGACAACCTAGCCACACAAGCTGTCAACATCCATCTTGCTGTTTACATCTCTTTGGAGGCCTCAAGAATTGAGGGGGGAAATTCAGTGTCCCTTCCTGAGTGAAATGGAGCGTTCTCTTTAGCCCTGCTGATGTTACCTCTGTATACCTCAGACTCCATCCTGGTTCATCCCCACTGGAAAAAAGTAGATCTGAACCCCGATGGATGAACAGTTGCTCCAGGACTTTGGAGTTTCTACCGGCCAAGTCTGTCGCGGGCAGGATTAGTCTAACCCAGACCCTTTCAGAGTCTATAAAGGCTTTGTTATCTTACTGGCAGAATAAAAGACCAGCTGCAGAGGCCATTTCAACTCTTCAATTCCACTTTTTATGGTGCAGCCGAAATAGCATGCCATTACTTTCCCCAAAGAGGGATCCACAACAATCACTTGTTGGTGTAATGGCTGAATTTTCCTCAGAGGATCATTAAAGTCTAATCTAATCTAACCTTATCTAATGTCATTGTTTGCATTCAAATTAAACTGCATCAATGGTCCTATTGATTTCTATAGTAACTTGCAGAATACACGACATTTGAATGTAGAAATGGAAATGTTTAATACTGCCTCTTCTACATGTAAGGGCCCATACATGAGCTACCGTTGAAGCATCTGAGTGTGGTTTGAAATTCACTGCTTATTGATTCACCGCCGAAGAGTCCCCAGGACAGCTATTTGAAGGTCTACAGCTCGCAGATGGTCTGTATGAGTTTTGCGCCCAAGAGCATTGAACTTCAACACCTAAATCAATTCCTCTTACTAAAGCTTCGAGGTTACTAAAGCAGCAACAAGTTGTAGACAGAAGGACAGATTGTATCTTTCAGATGAATAAATGCTGCACCACTGAAACCATGAGAGTGAAACCTCAAACAAAGCCATGCACATGCACAGGTCTGACTTCAAGAGACTATCATTTGCATATGACCTGCATATCCAATGTGTATATTTTATACAGTGTATTTAATATCCTAGAGGTATGACTATAGAAATAAATAAATGCATAAAAGCTATTTAGTTATTACTTCAGAAAACGTTAAGAACAACATTTAAAAGATAGCACTGCAATTGGAGCCATTTCTTGATAAATCCCTTTTTTTGGTTTATTATCTAATAAATAGTGTACACTATTTGGTTCATTAGGACTGGAGGAGGGAAAAAATAGGTTGCAGAAAGACTGTGCTCCACTTCGTTGGGATTAATGTAGCACTCAGCTGTGCATTAAAGGTAATCTTTGAAATCTTGAAATGAATTCTTCAACTAACATGTAAACAATGGAGGTCTCTTCATTTGGCTCATGATACTTGATTACAAACATAGACATGTACATGTTACTTAATATCTCACATACATAGTATTGACTCAGACTGCACTGTGGCTATTAATAACCATCATCACCGCTGAATCTTCTGGCTGTAAGTGGGATCTTTTTATGAATGATAATGAAGGTCCAGGCAAATGAGCATATTACCCCTCTAAAAGCACAAGTAAATCCTCAATATAAAAAACCCACAGAGCATGTCTCTTGTGCTACTTAAGTGATTCCTGCTAAATTATGTCTGCATCAGCCAATGGCTGACATTAGCTATAATGGTCTGTCCTATTTGTTGGATCCCAGTACAAATGATTTAGAAAATTTGCTCGGAAAGTGGGGCAACAATGACCAATGACATGTTTTTAGTAAACCCTTAGCAGAGAGGTTAGGATATCTGAAAAGGTGCTTTATCTAAAAAGAGACATAGGTCAGAAAGAGAGGCTTACAGCTGAAGGGAAATCAATAGAAACTGATTGCTGAGGACTTGGACCAATAATGATCAATACACACTAAGTGCAGCAGCAAAAAACACCTAACTAGCGTAGTGATGGAAAAAGCCTTTTGTGTGATTATAAGACGGTAGGCATTCCATCTTATAATGATTTCTTCCCAAATCTTCAGCTGGCCTGTTTGAGTATAACAGGACTAATATTACTATGGAGAGGATTCTTACATGGAAACTGTCAGCTCGTACTCTATCTCTCCCTGGTGACTGCAGCTTTTTGCTGAAAACAGTGTATTAGGTTATAACATTCATTACGGTTGAAATCAAACTGTATAGACAGTGACATGAATAGTGTTTTGTGCTCATTATCTGTTGTCTCAGATTAGGATATAGGGAAAGTGTTTCAGTTTTAAGTGTTCGTAAAAAATATATACAGTGTCTATTATTGAAAGTAAAAGCACTCATTAAAAAGAAGGCTCTCTTTGAGGCTGGCAATTTATATTATGAAGTAAAAAGTCCAGGTGGCACAGAATCTGACTACAGTAACTTTATTGTATTCATCATTTGAAGACAGATCTACTTTGGCTTGGAATCGGCAAAGTAGTGTCGCAGTGAGATCTGAGCCTTTCTACACGAATGTGTTTGGATGTTACGAGTCAACTGGTGAGCAGATGATGCATCAATTAACCAATGAAACTGAGCATGAATGAGACAGCTGAGGTGGATCAGCCGATGTGAGCAAGACTTCACTGCTCTGCCATGTCAGATAAACTCAAAAATTAAAATGATATTCTGATCACATCAAACGGGCCTCATCATCAAGCTGAAACAATGCTGTTGATATTTTGATGACATGCAACAAAACGTTCCCAACTTGAATG